TTAAAAAATATATCTTTATTGATTTCAGAGAGAGGAAGGGAGAGGGAGAAAGATGGAAATATCAATGATGAAAGAGTCATCATTGATCACCTGCCTCCTGCATGCCCCCGACGGGATCCAGCCTGCAACCCGGGCATGTGCGCTGACCAGGGATCGAATCTCCATCTCCTGGATCCTAGGTCGATGCTCAACTGCTGAGCCATGCCCGGCCGGGCAATACCTATTTCTTTAAACAATCTTTAATAGACTTTTTAAATGTGTAGGGTGTGGTTTGTTTGTTTTTAATTTAAATGTATTAATTTGAGAGAGAGAGAGAAACATCAGTTTGTTGTTCCACTTATGTATGCATTCATTGGTTGATTCTTGCATGTGCCCTGACTGGGGATCGAAGCCACAGCCTTCGCATATTGAGACAATGATCCAACCAACTAAGATACCCAGCCATGGCCACCTTTCTAATGTTTTAACAGTCCTCACACTTCCTTTGTGAAGGACCTTGGAAGTTCTGCCTTTATTTCCAGTCATCTATTACTGGCTTCTCATCAGGACACACCACCTGATTGATTTGAGATGAGTGAAGGCTTAGTGGAAAGATCTCAGGTCTCTAAATTGGAAAGTCTAAATACAAGGTTACCTGCCAAATTTTGCAGAGATTTAGTTGTTTCATTTCTGAGCTGAGAGTGCTCTACAGACTGGAATTCTCCCAAAAGAAGGGAGGCACATCGAGTAAGGGCCATACAGCCCTTGGCCTGCTGCAGCCCCTTGTGTTCCTGGTCCTCAATTCTTCAGAGTTGTCCTTTCTGCATTACTTGGCCAAAACTTGGTGTCAGCCCACTATATCCATCTGTTTCAGCCAGAAAGAGTTGCTCAGCTTTACATCTTAGCAAACTTACCCAGGCACACAGCATCTGAGAGATTTCCATATTCTTTCATTAGCACGGCAGTAAAAACCATGGAGGACTCTGCTAATAATTAAAGAAAGTTTCCAGGCTCGGTGACTTTATTACCATTCCCTGTAGGCCTGTAGGCCTATACAGATCTGGGAAAGTAGCCAGCCGCAAAGGAGCTGCTTTAGAATATCTGTCTATTGCTGAAGCAAGTCTTGTGCATGGCTCACATTTCCAGTCAGATAAGGAGGGTGATTCCTGGTTTTCTTTAAATCTAACGCTTAACTACTCTGAGGCTTGACTTCTACTTTCATATTGGCTTTGATTTACATACGTGTGTTTTCCAAGGAGAAAGTTGGTTAATAAGATGAAATTGGAGTCTTGACAGTATGTGTACCCTGTTATATTCCGTCAGCCGGCCCCTTTAGAGCCTGGTAAGTCCCCCCCCCAACTCATTCTCTTCTAACCAGGCCTTTCCAGTTGTAAAAGCAAGTAAATGAACTGGACTCTTCAGGGAGCTCATAGGGATAAGAAAGTACTATAGGTATAAAAGCCCCTGAGGTTTTTAGAAGAATCAGCTCTTCATATGAGTTATACTTATGAGTCTTTCCTTTTCAGTCAATGAAAACACCCCCTTAAGGCTGCACTTCTTGTGAGTTAACAGGCCTTCCATCGACTCTTCATAACAGGGTCCTTAAGAGGGAGATCTGTACACGTTCTCTTCACGCCACCTTTGACTCAGAAGTTACATTTCTATCATTTTGTCCCAGGGAAATGGTGAGAGATGCATACAGAGTTATGTATAAGGATGCTCGTACAACCTTATTACAATAATAAAAATTGGAAACAACCCAAATAATCAATAAAATGGAGACTTTAAAAATGTGTGTCATCTATCAGTCAAGATTTGGTAATACAGCAAATGACGGAAAACCCCATAACTGCGGCAGGAAGAGGTGCTGTGTGAGCCTGGCGTGATGGGTGCGGTCCGCAAGTCCCCGGGGCCGGGGCTCTTTTTTGTCACTCTGCTGTGTCTGCTCTTCGCTCCTAAGGTGACTTCATGGACCAAGATGGCAACTCCACCTCTAGTTGTCAGATACAAAGTCCAGCCAGCAAGAGGGACAGGACAGAGGAAGATGGCCCCGAGGTCGTTCACCGCTGTCCCTTACAACACTCCTGTTTACATCCTGCCAGCGTGTTTATCTAAGGCATGAGCGTTCCTCCATCAGGGAGGAAAGGAGTGTTGCAGAGGTTATCATTGGGCCCAGGCCTTGAGTTGATTAGGGTTGAGCTTCAGGCAAAGGGCAAGTCAGCAGCTGACCTGGAAGGAGTTACGTTTTTTTACACTTACCTGTTTGAAGTTTCCGAGTGTCAAACTATGTTCTCCTGCCTTGAGGAAAGGTGATCCCATTGGGATGCTTTCCTGCCCTCTGCAGTTCACACTTTTTTTGCCCCTTATTTTTTTAATAAAGTTGCTAACTTCCAAAACTCTTACTTGTATGTTTCAACCCTCAGAGTCTGGCTGGTATAACAGCCTTTGGCTCGGCCATATATGTGCAAAACACTAGTAAAATAAAATGTGAAAGTTCCAAACATTTGTTAATGAGTAGATTAGACCAGTGATCTCCAAATACAGGGTAGGGCAAAAGTAGGTTCAGAGCTGTGAGTATGCAGAACACAGAGTTCATTCTTGCTTTATTATTTATTAATGTGTGCATTACTGTCCTTATGAACAGCTGTAAACCTGCTTTTGCCCCACCCTGTATTTTTCATCATAATCCCCAGACAAAAAGAAACAAAATTTGATATGCATTTCCATATTTGTGAGCTTATTTATTTAAATTGTATACATGTTAAACTCTGTTAATATATGATATAAAATAGCTTAAAAAGTAGAAATTTAAACTGATAGAAAAACATATAAATAGACATTCTAGTGATTTCTTGCTTTATCTCCATGGATCGTCTTATATGTTGACATCGCCTGGAGGGGCTACACCCCACTTTGAAACCACTCACCGCTGATACAGGCAGTCAGCAAAGAGCTCTGCAAGGGACTTCAGAGCAGGAAAGAAAGAGGGGGTTTCTTGTGTGTTCCTTTTAAGGGCCTAAATTAGGCTAATGCATCAGTAACTGCCACTACGTTGACGTTTACATAGCCTTTACAGTTTTTAAATGCTTTCTCACATGTGTCACCTCATTTGCTCTCTCAAAGAGAAATGAAGTGTGTCAAAATTGGAGATAGATTGCGAAGAATCTTGAACGCCTTCCGGAGAGGAGTTTGGACTTCATTACAAAAGCAGTGCGCCCATGCCGGGTGGATCCGATTTTGTAAACGATCCCAAATCCCCTCAGTAATTGGCTTCCCTTTCCCGGGTGAGAGGGCAGAGCCGCTGAAGGAATGGCCCAGGGTTGCACCCACTCCGGCTGCTCTCTCTAGTGAGGTGCCCTAGGACAGCAGACCCCAAGTCTCCGCAGATAAGTGGAAGGCACAGTGGGCTTTCCCACCCTGGGTTCGTCTTTCAGCACTTCAGAACCAGGAGGTAGTAGGCTTGGCCAACCACTGTCCTGCCCTTTTTCCTAGACTGCTTCTCCATCCATGTGACTATTATTGGTATACTCAGTTTCCAAAATGATGCCTGGATACATTTACAGGGAGCTCCCACCAGGAGTGTGTGTGCAGCTGTTTTCACACCAAGGTATTTTCCCTGATTCCTGTGTCTCTCTTTTCCTTCAGCAGCCTGAGCTCAGCAGGTCATGTTCCACATGCCGTATTTAGCTCTGTTTCCGGGGAGTAGGGCTGGACTTGTACAGCCTCTACTTTCTCCCTCTCTGTCCCCCACCAGCTGAGCTGCCTGTCCTGCTTACCGCAGGTGCGTTCTGAGAGCCACGTGGAGTGGCTAACAGGACGCCGCTTTGAAAAGTCTAAAGCTGCCCTCCACAGAAGTCACCCTAGGGCTTTGGTAGCAATGAAGCAATAGAAGTAACTAATTACTTAGTGGTGAGGGGAGTGCCACTTTCATGCTGAGAAACCTTCAGACTCACTCTCCTATGACCAAAGTTCTAAGAGGGTCAGTTAAGGGCCTTTGTCCATAGAGAGGCTATAGCAGCCTGCCAGATGGGGAGCAAAGAGAGCCTGCATCCTTCCAGTCATGTTGTGGGTGTTGCCAAAGAGCGATGGATGTCTATTTATAACATCTTCAAAGGGGGGCTCAAGTTGAAGCCTTGGCCTCATACCAGGTGATGCCACAGACCCAGGCACCAAAACGGGACAGAGGAGACAGGTCTGTGGTGTGGGAAATGGAGACAGGTCAGGTGCAGAGCAGCCTGCAGAGACCTCCGCTCCTGAGGCAGGCGATGCAGTGCGGCCTCATTGCGGGTGGCGTGGTGCTGGCTTCCTAGTGATAGAACATCTTGGTTTTGCAGTTAGAAAACCTGGTCCAAACCCAACTTTAACAACCTTTCAAGCAAGCTACTTAACTTCATCTGTTAGGACTCTGTAAAGGATGTCTGCAAGGTTAAACAAAGTGGCACACTTTGTACTTTTTCAGTTAAAGCACTGTTACTGTTACTCTTATAAAGATGCATGTCACTCTGTCTTGTGTCAGGTTGGCTGATACCATCTGTCTCCCCAACTTGTGACAAACTGTTGTCCCCTTGATGTGTTCTTCCCCTCAGCAGCGAGCCCAGAGTCCCCAGTGTGTTCTGTGGAATTGGCCATTGATTTCTAGCTGTGTGCTGTTTCTAAAGTTTACCTCTTTCAACACAAATGTGATATTAAGGGTAACCCCCCATGCAATTCCTGTCGCCAGACTAGCACCCACCCCCAGAGCTTAGGAGAAGTTTGCACCTGGTTAGAAACGGTGCTCAAGTTGTGCTTCCTCCTTCCAGGGACTTCCCAGATGACCCAGGTGCGCAGTGGGACACAGAGCACGTGGCCAGCGTCCTTCTCCGGCACGTGGAAGTGAATGACATCGACCTGGTATGGGAACGCGCTCCCGGGGTGCAGAGCTGGGGCCCCGCTCACTCCTTTCCTGTGTCCACTCTCCCACTTCCAGCCCTTCTCCAGGGCCATGCTAAAAAGAGGCCAAACCCTCAGTGCTCTCTTAAACCTCCTGATGACAACACACCTTTTGTGAGACTAAGTAACCAAACTATCAGCACTCAGAGGCACAGGTTTTTCCAGTTATGTCCTCTGTTCTGCCACCTAAAAACTCAGGTCCCCAAGGAGCCCAAGCTGCAACTCTCATTTGTACAGATCCCACCTCTAACCCTCGCCCTAACCTGTTACCGAGCATTTGCACATTTAGAGTATTGTTTTAACTTTAGAGGTAAATGTTGTTACAATCCTCATTTTACATCAAGGAAGCTGAGGTTTACAGAGGCCAAACAGCTAGCCCAAGTTCGGCAAGTGGCAAAACTAGAATTTTAAGCCTTAGTTTCAAAAAAACACAAGGATAAATTCACACCCACTACAGGGAAAACATTTGAGTTACCATCAGAGCAATAGCGGAGATTCACATTTACCTGCAGAGGTGGGCAAGTCTGGGAACACCCATCAGCTCTCCCAGGATCCGCTGGAGTGGGCCTCACCAGTGGTCAAGTTTAAGCCTGCCTAGAAGGCTTACTGTGCACTTCTAAAATAATAATAATAATCCTTTATGAGTTAATACCTAAAATTTGACCATTTAAAGCCCCAGTCATATAAAAACTAGAGTTTTGATAAATCCTCAATGAAAGATGAATCCTTCTGCAGAGAATAGGTTAGGCTTTTATCAGTGGTGATTCGCTGAGCAAACTGATTATTAGACCATTCGTAAGAACAGATTTTCATTAATTTATTGGTCAGACCGCCTTTGTTTTCTAATGACAGAAGATTTAGCAGTCAGCTCTCTTTGTTTTAATGCCAAAAGAGCACTTGACTGGCTCACTCCAAATCCCGTACACGTGGTGACGCACTGCCAGAACTCGTCTCTATCCAGCTCTGTGCATTGACTTTATTTTTTTTCCTGGCTGGAAAAATGGTCACTGGTAGCATGCAGGTCCACACCTCCCACCTATTTTTTTCCTGGGGGTCCAAGTGGGAAAACCAGAGAGTTCTGTCCATGGGCTTAGTCAAACTCTCTGCCGTATTGACTGCCCAGCCCACACAGTCAGAACTTCTTAGGACTCCAAAGCCCCGATACGTAGACAGAGCTGGTCTTTAGGACCAGCCTGAAGTAAGACAGTGAGGTCTGCAAAATGTGCTGTAATACCCCTGGGTGTCCTGGGACCAGCCCCCAAATACTCTCTCTCTTCCCCTGCTTCGGTGTGTAAGAATAGCTGATCTCCCCAGTAACTCCTGCTTGTAGGATAAACTCCTGTCTCTCTAAACTGGATTCTGTGATCTGGCCCTTTTTTAAGGACTGGACACTGGTGAACAGGATTGGTCCTTGCCGAGGGGCCTGATTTCTTTCCTAGACCTTGTTGCAGGCCCTGGCTCTGAACATCCAGGGAAGATCTCAGGGCACAGAGCTCTGTATGCCATTCTTGCTCTCAAAAGAGTCTCCCAAGTATGTGTCCCAGAAAAGTGATTTATGGTCCAGGCTTCCCTCAAGCCTGCCTTCTCCAAGAAGCCTTCCCTGACTTCTTCAGCTCTCCTGGGGATTCCTACAGTATTTGCTGTGTGCCCTACGCCTGTGGCATGTGTTACTGTAAAGTACAGGCCTGTCTTGTGAACTAGACTGTAAGGTCCATGAAGGAAAGAACTGCTCCATGGCACCTTTATAACCCCAAGAACTAGAACAGGCCTCAGACAGTGCTCACCCCAAACTGCTGCAACTCTTAACTGCCTCCAGCTGCTTGTCCTTCCTTCCTGTTGTCTGAACTGCTCACATTCCCTCAGATGAGTGAGGGCACCTTTATTGTCAGCGTAATCTAGAATTGATTTAGTTTTTGTAAACAAGGAAATCCTTTTTTAAAAGATCTTTAACATATTAATGAAACTCTCAAGTTATCATAGTGCACTGGGAATAATTTCTCTGGTCTGCACTTAGTACGATAATAGAATTACAAGGCCATTCTGACACCATGGCCAGTGTGGACATAGTGCCCATAATCAAGCTAAATATGAGTTTCCACTCAGCTTCTCATGACACATACCCATGGTCCCTATGGGCGGAATGTGGGGTTAATAGCAGCAGGTGAGAAGTTACTTGGTGGCAGGTGCATAAATCTTGGGAGGGTCCAAGTGCCCTGTCCAGACCAGAGTGTGGACAGCGCATTAGAAGTGAGGAGCACAGAGCTAAGTCATGAGGAGGTAGTTTCTCGGCTGTGCTGGGCTAATGCCAAAAGCTCTCCTTTGTTCAAGGCCAAAGCTGGCCCTGCAGCCATTAGCACAGTGTGCTGGAAGGAACTGGGCTCTGTGTGGTCCCAGTCTGTCGGATGCATGCTGAGCTGTCTGTCCTACTCACTGCAGGAGCCCTGAGAGGATCACATAGAGCAGCTGACAGGGTGGAGCTCTGGAAAGTGTAACTCTGCCCTCTACAGAAAACAGCCAGGAGGTTTGGGGGTGTCTTTGAGTGTCAAGCAGGCTAGGTCCTGGGCCCAACCCCTGCCTCAGTCCTTCATTGAACAAATATTTATTGAGCGCCTGCTCTCTGTTGTGAACTGGGGATTTGGCAAGAAGCCAAACAGCTAGTTCCCGCTCCCGTAGGGCAGGGTGTCTCAACAGTGGCACTGTTGACCTTTGGGGCTGGATAACTCCAAAGGTCACTGGGGCTGTCCTCTGCATTGTAGGATGTTTAGCAGTATCCCTGGCCTCTGTCCACTAAATAGCGCCCCCTCTACCCAATAGCAGTCCCCCTCATTCGTCACAATAAAAATGTCTCTAGACATTGCCAAATGTCTCTAGGAAAAAACTGTCCCCAGTTGAGAACCACTGTCTTAGAGAATCCAGAGCAGCCCCACTGTTGTCTCTTGTTTATGGAGGTCTGGGTAAGATTTCATCTGAACAAAGGCTTCTGCAACTTAGCAGGGGAAGTGGATGGTATCTAAGAAGAACTGCAGGTGCTGGTTGGAGCGTCGTCCGTGCACCAAAGGGTTGCGGGTTCGATTTCCAGGTGGAGCACATACCTAGGTTGCCAGTTAGATCCCTGGTTGGGGCGCGTAGGAGAGGCAACTGATGAGTGTTTCTCTCTCACATCCATGCTTCTCTCCCCCTTCCTTCCTCTCTCTAAAATGAATAAAAGCATATCCTTGGGTGAGGATTAATAAAGTAAAATTAAAAAGAATTGCAGATGCCGTGCACAAATCCGCAGACATCCAAGGAGCCGGCGTACCTGGGCTCAGCCCCCCTCGCCGCAGAACAAAGAGGGAGCGTGTGAGATACGAGGTGTGGGCAGCTGGCCTTATGGATCACAAAACTTTTTAGAGAATGTCCTGTGTCTTTTTTTTTTAATATGTCTTTATTGATTTCAGAGAGAGGAAGGGAGAGGGAGAGAGAGAGAAACATCAGTGATGAGAGTCATTGATCGGCTGCCTCCTGCACGCCCCCTGCTGGGGATGGAGCCCGCAACCCAGGCCTGTGCCCTGACCGGGAATCGAACCTCGATCTCCTGGATCACAGGCCAGTGCTCAACCGCTGAGCCACACTGGCCAGGCTGTCCCATGTCTTTTTGAAAGGAATTCTACAGTTGTTGAACAGTCCTTTATTTTTTTCCTCTCAGTCATTTAGTAATCATATTTTAAAATCTTCTATGTTTTCACTGATATTTTTGTCTACTCTTCCTGTCATTTATTGAAAACGGAGACAAGAAAGTGGTTGCAGAGAAAATATTTGAAAGCCTATAGCTGAAAATTTTCCAGAATGAGAAAGAGCTTAACCTACCATTTCAAGAAGTCCAGTGAGTCCCTCACAGGATAAAAGGCAATCCACACGTAGGTATACATGATGAAACCGCAGCATGCCAAAGAGAAAGAAAACCTTAAAGGGAGCAAGAAAAAAATCAAATTACCTACAAAGGAGGAACTTTTTCTTACTGTTGATATTTTCTCTGGTTATTTAAATCTGGAGAAACATTTTTATAAGTTGAGTTTGGAAGGAACCTAGGCTTTGTCTGAGCCTTTGAAAATAACTAACGTTCGCCCTCCCCCCAAAAAATATGTGAAATGAGGAACAAACAAAGACCTTGGAGAATCTGAAAAGTGCCTGAGCCAGATAAGCTCCCGATGGCCCCGAATCCCCTGTCCCAGGGCATGCCCTCCCGCACGCCTGTGATGGGAACCTGGCCCCACGCGGCCAGCTGTCTGCTGGCACCGCTGAGAGCTGAGACACTGAGCCTGGATCGCTGCCTGGTTTTAAACACTTCCACGTGCTTTATTTTATCTTCACCTCAACTCAGTGAGGAAAGTAGGGCTGGTATTATTTTTCTTATCTCTCAGATGAGGAAGCCAAGACATTGAAAGATGAAAGAACTTCCAGTGGTAAAGCTCTGTGCCTTGCCCGACGGGCTGGGGTTAACTAGTGTCAGAGAGAAGAGCGATGCAGGGCCCCCCCCCCACCGTGTTTAATGGAAGAATGGGATCGGTACTTGAGTTGTATGGTTAACTGTTTTTTTAATAGACTGTATTTTTTAAAAGAATTTTTCTATTACAGTTGACATACAATATTATTTTAGTTACAGGTGTACAACATAATAGGCTGCTGTTTCAGGTCCACAGCAAAGTTGAGCAGAAAGTCCATATATAAGCCCTGTCCTCCTTAGGTTGGTGCAGTCAGTGAACCTGACTGACGTCTCATCACCACCCAAAGTCCATAGTCTATGTTAGGGTTCACTTTCGGTGCCCTATATTCCCTGGATTTTGACAGATGTATAATGACATGTATCCACCATTATATGATTAGCATTTTATAAGCCTTTAACTCAGATTTTTTAAACTTTTGATTATAGAGAATTTCAAGCATGCAAAAGTAGAGAGAATAGTTTAGTGAACCTCTGTGCTCCTACTACTCAGCCTCAATCATTAACACATAGTCAGTACTGTTTTCATTTAAACACCTCCCCCACCTCCTGTATTACTTTGAAGCAAATCCTCACCATATTTCATATTTAAATACTTTAGTATGCAATTCTAAAAGACATCAAATCTTTTATTAACCCTATTATCATTATCACACCTAAAGTTAATTTATATCAATGCTTGGCATTGCCAGTAGTCTCATGTCATAAATGTGGTTTTATTTGTTTTTATTTTTTAGCTTGTTTGAATCAGGATCAGTTGACAGGACTTTACATTAGTTTTTAATCTATAGCCCCACCCTCCAGCCTGTGCTCAGTAAAAGTTAGCTGCTCACACTTTTCTATACATGAAGTCAACATGTTTTATGGTTTAGTATAGAAAGACCGATAGTGGATCCCTTCCCAGCCTCCTCCAATCCCAGTTCCAGGTCCCTTCGTCTGTGCTGTATGGTGTTTCGTGCCTTGGGGACAGTTTGCCTCTTTCCATCACCCCTAACCAGCCATACTCTTCAGTTTTCTGGGTCCTTGATTTCTTTAAAATATTTCTTTTATTATTCAAGCTATTGTTTTATTATTATTGTTATTGTTAAGATTGTTCTTTGGGCTTTTTAAAATCCATCTGTGTAGAAGTGAAATGTTGGAATCTAGTTTTTAGTTAATAAACAGATCTATGTTTGTGAAAATGGAAGCAGAAGCAGTCTATGAATAAACATATTTGTGCTGTGAACTTAACCCCAAGGCCTGATGGAAAATGTCCCCTAAAGCTTTTGTGCCCTCAGTAAGGCACAAGGAAAAGAGGCCCAATAAATCAGGCAGCATCTACATGGACAAAGTTCACGCAGCAGCCAGCCGGGGAAACTGAATGTGCTAATAACTGGCGGAGCAGGTAAGAAACAAAGATATTCTGAGCCCAGGTTTCTCTCACGGCTGAATTCCACTCTGCTCCCCCGGCCAGGAACCAGAATCAACAGCAGACCCTCCGTGGAAAAGTCCCCATGAATCGGCCAAGCCTGTGGCTTCGCGCCATTGATCTGAGCCCACGTCAGTTCAGATATGCTCAGAACTGGAAAAGTTTCGTGGCACTGCTCTCCTCTGTCCTTCCCAAGGCTGTGGGGACAGCGAGCTTGAAGTCGGGGCGCGAGGGAACCCCTCTGTTTTTCTGCAGGTGGTGACCTTCGATGCCGGGGGAGTGAGTGGGCACAGCAATCACGTGGCTCTGTATGCGGCCGCAAGGTACGATTCTCTGGGCCATCGATGGGGGTGGGAGAGGGTGTCGTTTGCTCAGGATGGAGGGTTCCGAGCGCTGCCCCACCCAGTACGTGAGCCCCATGAAACGGAGCTGCGACCCGCAGGCTGGTGCTGGCCACGCTGCTCACTCACCTCACTGCAGCCTCCTGCGCGAGATCTCTCTCAAGTCTTAATTGCTGTTTCGTCTCCCAAACAGCTGAGTTTTTACCCCATGACTGTAGCAAAGGGGTGACTAACTGATTTAATTTCTCTCTTTGCTTTGGCCGCAGAAAGCTTTAGGACCAAATCTGCAACCCTTTGTAGCACACAGACGAGACTTTAAGGGTTGAGTTCTGTGAACCAGTGTTTCTCGGCTTCATCTTCTTTTTCCTCCTGTTATTCCCATTTATTTTGTTATCTGTTTTATATATATATGAATCCTCACTGGAGTATGTATTTTTATTGATTTTAGAGAGGGGGCGGGGAGAGAGAGAAACATCGATCGGTTGCCTCCCGCACGCCTCCCGACCGGGGATCAGACCTGCAACCTAGGTGTGTGCCCTGACCGGGAATCGAACCCACAACCTTTTGGTCCTCAGGATGATGCTCCAGTCAACTGAGCCACCTGGCCAGGAATGTCTTATATTTTATACACTCGAATCCTTCTTTGGAGAAGCATATATATACATAATATGACATCTCATTTGTACTTCACAGTCACCGTATTTTACTGATATGTATCTGTATTTTAGTGGTAAAAAAACAACAACAACAAAACTGAACCTCGAAGATATTAGGGACTTACTCAGGGTCACACAAACACATATCATGTTTCCCGTCCTCTAGAGAAGTGCTTGCCATGGGACACACACACCAGCCTGGTAGACCTGGCCCACACTGAGGAAGGAAAGGGGCGACTTGAGGTGAAGGACTTACCTTATTACCTTCTAAACATGCCAACGTTCTCAGACCAGAGCAGAGAAAGGTATGAAGGTAGAAATGACCTTACCTGCCCAGTCCAGCCTCCCCATTTTGCCCAGGCAGTGAGGTGGTCTGCCCGGCACTGCCAGGCTGAGCCTGTGCAGGTTCAGGGAAGACACATCCCCCAGTTACGGTCAGAGATGCAATGTTTTGTGAAGATGCATGGAAAAGTGAGGTAGCCCAGGAGTGGTCTTTCCAGTCAACCATGTGGTTACTCTGAGGCCTTGGGCTTCCGAGACTGGAGTGGAGAGCCGAAGGAGCGGCTCCACTTCATCCCAGATGCACACCGAGCCTGTCATTTTCTACCGAGCTCCCAGAGGAAGCACCAGATGGGGTCTGTGGCAAACAAACCAAGAGCTTCAGGACACTTAAGGCTAATTTGGGTGGGTCCCTCCCTGGCCCTACCGCTGGCGTGGGGAAGGCTTCCATCTGGGCCAAGAACCCAGGGACAGCATTATGCAGACAGACCTGTCTGGGGACATTTTCCTTGGAAGAGGCTCGAGGCCCCAGGCTTTTAATACTCCTGTCTTCTGTGCACTGATAAGCTCCGCTGCGCTTAAGATACAATTTGTTGATACGCCCAAGTCCATGCTCCTTTGAAAGTGATCTTACAGCAGCCCCTCTCCCCCCACAGGGACACTCCTGGGGAAGTTCACAGTCATCAGTTTCCCCTCTCATCCCCAAAAGTCTTCCTGTACCAGCACCTTACATTGCTTCCAAAAAAGTTTCTGAGTTCCTCCTGCCTGTTTGACTCCCCGTATCCCATGTGCTTTCCCTCAGACATGGTTTCGATTTATGGTTTTCTCGGAAAGCCCCCCAACTGCCGTCACCACAGCTGTTTGGAGGCGAGCTATGCCCCCTGCAGCAGCAGAGATGTTTTATCTTTCACTCTCCATCCACTCAGCCCTGGCAGCTGCTAGGCCCTTGTCCTCAAAGTCCCTCTCCTACTGGGCTTGTTCCTTCTGTTGCCCCCTCCCCCCTTATCTCAGCCTCAGTTGTGTCCTTCTCGTATAGGAAACCGGAGTGGCTGGCAGCTCTGCCCAGCAGCAACATCCGTCTGTGCTCACCTGATGTCATGGCACAGGGGAAGGCTCCAGGAACATTTCTTGCAGTCCTTGCTGCACAGGCACAGTCGGAAAAGAGGAGAGATTTATCGAGAGCTGCACAGCTCCCCAGAGACAAAGCAGACTAGAACTTAGATCTCCCATCTCCTCTTCTAGGGCTCTGAAGGGCGCCTCACTGCCGTGTCCACGAGTAAGCAAGCCTGTGGGAACCGGAGTAAATGGCCTGACCTCGAAAGCCTTACTTCCGTCATCCAAAAGATGAGCATATTCATACCTCATCTGTCAGGTCATTCTGAGGAAGTAGAACAAGATGCTGAGACAAAGCATCTGACAGAACAGCGTCCGGTGTGGAATCAGTACTGTCTTGCTCGTCCATTCCTTTCTGGGAGCCTTTGGGGCCTTTCCTTTTGTATTCTTCTTGCCATAGATGGTTGCTTGTAGAAGCTTCCAGAAAAACCAAAGAAACATCATAGAAGGAGAGGGGACACTGGGGAAGGCGGGGACCACACAGCCACTATATAAATTGCAGGAAGCACTCCCTGGAAGAGCAGCCCCAGAGTGGCATTCCACCCCCAGGCCCAAGGCCTCAGCAGGCTCGGCTGCCCGGTGCCCACCTCGATGCAGACCCCGAGTCTCCATCCCACCCGTGGCTCTGTTCCCGTGGGCCTCAGTGCTCCTCTGTCACCTAATGCTGCCACCTCCAGCCCCATGCAGCCCCTTCAGTTCCAAGCAGAAGTGCCAAGGGGATAAGGTCATCTTCTGAGCCGCCCTCCCTTCTGCTCTCTGGGCCTTGGCTCCATCTGTGGCCATCGGCCGCAGGCCCTCATGCTTGCTGGACGACCTGCCTTGTGCACAGAGCAGAGGACCATTTCCCCACCTCCTTCCTCCCCTTTCTGCCTGCCTCCTACTCCCACCAACCTACTAACATTGTCTCCACAGTCACCCCCTGGCTGCCAAGTCCCCTAGATTTATTTCAGTCATCTGTTTGACCTTTTTACGGCATTTGGCCCTGCCTGTCACTGCTGTGACCTCCCTCGAACCAGCTTGTCCGCTCTCCCCTGGCCCCTCTGGCTCTCCTCAGCCTGTTCCTGGCTTCCTTCCAGCCGAGGTGATCAGTGCTCTCTCCCCTTCCCTCCCCTCCTCTCGGTCCCCTCCCCGCACTGGCTTCCTTGCTACAGGTTCCTCAGTGGCCTTGTGCAAGTTCAGCACAGCTGTGCGTGGCCAGTGCTCACCTTGCCCCTTAACTTAGACCCTGCATTCCCCGCTCTTTCCTTTGAGATCCTGACCACCCCCAGGGCTCCATCCAGACAGCAGGACAAGTCACCTCTGTTCTCCAGATCCCAGAAACCTTTTTCAGATTTCTCCGCTTCTCAGGGCTCTGCTGGGGAGTCAGGCCCATACTCTATCAGTTCTCTCCCAACTTCTCTTCCTTAACATCTGCCCCCTAGAATCCCTGTCATATGCTTGTATGTGTCTGTGAGTCGAGGACTAGCTACCACCCTCCTCTGAAGGCAGGAGGCACAGTAGCTTCGCTGTCAGCGGTGGGGGTGGGGCAGGTCAGAAAGAGAAAGGAACTGCTAGGGAAGAAATGTCAGCGTTTGAGAACATCCTCCCACCAAACTCACATTACAGTTTCAAAGGAGAAAAACCTTGAAGAGTCCACTGCAGTTTCCTTCATCTCTGCATAAGCCCTGGCCAGCCTCCAGACTGGTGTTGGCTGTGCTTGGGGAAGGTGCCCACCATGGTCCCTTCAGCTGTAGCCAGAGGTGCGGAACCCCATCAATCTAGGTGCAGTCTACGGAGTGGACACCACCTAGAAGCTGACCGGGAGGCACGCGGGTGTGGCAGGCCTTGCTCGGAAGGCCCTTCCTGTTACCTGCAAAGGAGAGCTCACTCTCCCTCTTGTCCTTTCCCTCTTCCAGGACCCTCCACTCGGAAGGAAAGTTACCTGAAGGTAAGGCCTGTCCCTTGGGCCAAAAGGCTGCTGGGTAAGGTAAAGCCACGGTGCCGCTGGGAAACGTGCTAGTGTGAGATTTGTAAATATGTGTGCAGAGAGCTGCCCTGGGCCAAGCAGAGGTGGGCTGCGGGTGGGGAAGCCTGGCCACCCTCTTCCTGACTGGCTCAGCGTTTCTGTCAGTGCAGGTCCCTAGGCCTCAAAACCGGGGTGTATCCACTGAGAAGTGCCCAGCCCGCCAGGCAGCCTCAGGTGTGGTAGGACTGAGGGTGCTAGTCAAGGTTCTCCAGAGAAACAGAACCAGCAAGAGAGAATTTAGTTACCCATTTATTACAAGGACTGTGCTCGTGCAGTTATGGAGGCTGAGAAGTCCTGTGATCTGCAGTCTGCAAGCTGGGCCCAGGGAAGCTGGCGGTGTCATTCAATCCGAGTCCAAAGGCCTGAGAAGCAGGGGAGCCAATGACGCAGATCCCAGTCTGAGGGCAGCAGATGGCCAATGTCCCGCGCAGTCAGGCAGAAAAGAAGTTCTCCCTTCCTCTGCCTCGTGCTCTATTCAGCCCGATGCGCGGGCGGGCACGCACTCGCGCACACACACACACACACACACACACACAGGAGGGCCGTCTGCTTTACTGACTCAAAGACTAATCCCATCCGGGAACATCCTCCCAGACCCACCTAGAAATAACGTTCAGCCAAACATCTGGGTGCCCTACGGTGCAGCTGACACAAAAAGCCACGCCAGGCCCTGCCCACTCGCCTGCCTAGCTTCCTCACGGCTGGGTCTTTTCCACCTCTGATGTTCCTTCAGTCCGTCTGTCCCAACTCACATCCCATCGCGCAGTTAATTAGCCAGTTGTAAATGACTGGGGGGTGCTTGATGGATTAATCTGCTGGATCAGAGGATGGTGTGTGACGCCACCTGCCCATTACTATGTGACACTGATGCTTAACCTCTGTGAGCTAGTGTCTGGTCTGCCAATGGGGACGACACACATCCCTCCCAATAATGCTGTGAAGATGAAAGGAATGAAAACATAAGAAGCGTGTGCCCTCTCTGAGTGGGCTTACTGAGCTCACAAAGCTGTGAGGTCTTTGGAACATGACTGTAGTTTATTTGATTCTTACATGTCAACTTTGTGAGGCAGGCAGGCCCCACACTATCAATACCATTTTACAGATGAGAAAACTGAGGCTCAGAGAGGTTAAGGGACTTTTCCAGCTCTTTAGTGACCGAGCAGGAACCAGGCCTCTGGCCTCCTGATACAGAAATTCCTGTCTCTAGCCCTCTCCCCTGGGCCTGAGGTAGACAAACCCCAACCTCTAGCAACCAACCTTTTCTTGCTAGGACTGCAGCAGCCAGGTGTCCTACGCCCCTTCACTCTTCTCATGGGTGAGAGTGATGGACAAAGAGCTGCTTTGGTGCTGAGGAGCAGCTCCCTGACCACTGCCATGCCCTGAGGGTGCTGGGGGGGGTCTGTCCAGAAGCAACAACACTCTTCCCTTCTCCCTCCCCCCTCCCCGACCCAGGGTGCACTGTGCTGACACTCAGGTCTGTGAATGTGCTGCGCAAGTACATCTCCCTTCTGGACCTGCCCTTTTCTCTACTTCGTGCCTGCGATGTCCTCTTCGTGCTCACCAGCAAAGAAGTGGCACAGGCCAAGGTGAGGATTGCAGCTTCCTGCACACCCCAGCTCCAGATCTGTGCCCCAGACCCCTGGCTCCTCAAACCTGGCTCTGCAGAGCCCTGACCAGAGGCCTCCACAGCACAGCCTGGCCTGAGCGTTAGTACTGCTGCTGCGCCTGGAGGCGTAGATTCCCAAGAACGGCCTTTTTTCTGATTATAAAAATAATACATGCTAAAAAATTAATAACACATGCTCATTGTAGAAAATCTGGAAATACATAAAAGCATCAAAAGAAAATGAAAATAATAAAATTATTTTACACCACTCCAATGTAATCCTTGTTAGCATGTTTGCCTTTATCTCCTATATAAAGAGTATTATATAAATACATGGATATAAGGATGTATTTATTCTTATATATTTTTAATGGGGTCACAGTACCTACTATTTAAAACCTGCTTTAATAACACATGACCGTTTTCTCCTATGTCATTAAGTATCTGAACTGTAATGGCTGCCTATATTCCATTGTATATATGTACCATAAAATATATCACAAATCTCTTATTTAATGGGCATTTCAATTTACTGTTTTTTCACTATTATACATGGAGCAGTGCTTCCTGGCCAGGAGCCTCAGTAAAGAGCCAGTGGGGCAAACCACTATTTGCCTGTTGAGGAAAAGCCAGGCCCAGTGAGGCCCTGCAGTGAAAATTCTTTGGACAGGTGATTCTAAGAACCACTGAGCTAGAGAGGGGGCAGGTCGAGACTCACTCCAGTTTGCCACAAGGTGCAACCCCAGTTGATATAAGTCCACCAGGGAGAGAAGGCTAGCAATGAGTAAAACTGAGAGAACTCAAAATAATGTGTTTGGGGGTGGGAGGGTTGCTTAGCTTTATTTTCTAACTTGTCTACAATAAACATTTATTTACTCAGAGGCACTTTGCCAGATGCTGAGAATACGGTGTTGAGCTGAAACAGTAATTCTTTTTTGTTTCTCTGATAGTTCATTAATTTCTGTTCATTATTTCTGTCCTACTTTATTCATGTTTTATTGTTCTTTTCAACTGTTTTTGAACTTAAAGGTTAGCTTTTTTCTACTTTCAGTCTTCTTTAAAAATACACCTTAATACTATTAATTTCCCTTGAAGTATTCCTTTAGCTGCACCTGATAAGTTTTGATATGTAGTTCTTCTATTGTCATTCAGTTATAAGTAATTTATAGAGTTTCCATTGTGAGTTCCTTTTTAATCCATAAGGTTTTAGGGGTGTATTTTTTTAAAAATTTTTATTGAATTTATTGGGGCGACATAGGTCAATAAGATCATATAGGTTTCAACTGTACAATTCTATGATACATGATCTGTATATTGCATTGTGTGCCCACCACCCAAAGTCAGATCATCTTCTGTCACCATATATCTGGCCTCCCTTTCCCTTTATTACCTCCCCACCCCCTTCCCTCTGGTAACCACCATACTGTTGTCTGTATCTCTGAGTTTCAGTTTTATATCCCACATATGAGTAATATAAGGTTCTTAGCTTTTTTCTGACTGATTGATTTTGCTTAACTTTTTCTCAAGGTCCATCCATGTCCACAAATGGCAGTACTTCGCCCTTTCTTATGACTGACTAGTATCCACTGTGTACATGTCCCACAGCTTCTCTATCCAGTCCTCTATCGCAGGACACTTTGGCTGGCTCCGTGTCTTGGCCACTGTGAATAATGCTGCAATGAACATAGGGGTGCATATATCTTTGTGAATACATGTGTTTTAGTTTTTTGGGTAGACACCCAGGAGAGGGATTCTGGATCTATTCTTAATTTTTTGAGGACTTGCAATACTGTTTTCTATAGTGGTTGTACCAGTTTACATTCCCACCAGCAGTGAATGATTAGTGACCTTGAGCATTTATTTTTATTTTTTAAATATATCCTTCTTGATTTCAGAGAGAGGAAGGGAGAGGGAGAGAGAGGGGTAGAAACATCAATGATGAGAGAGTCATTGATCGGCTGCCTCCTGCACACCCCCGACTGGGGATTGAGCCCGAAACCTGGGCATGTGCCCTGACCGGGACTCGAACTTCTATCTCCTGGATCCTAGGTCGACGATCAACCGCTGAGCCACGGCTGCTGGGCTTGCACATTTTTTCATGTCTGTTGGCCAACTCTGTGTCCTCTTCAAATAATTCTCTATTCAGGTCCTTTGCCCATTTTTTAATTGGATTGTTGGTCTTACTGGTGTTGAGTTGTATGAGTTCTTTATATATTTTGGAAATTAACCCCTTATCCGATGTCTCATTGACGAATATGTTCTCCCATACACTGGGTTCTCTTTTCATTTTGTTGATGGTTTCTTTCACTGTGCAGCTTTTTAGCTTGATGTAGTCCCATTTGTTTATCTTTTCCCGATGTAGTCCCATTTGTTTCCCTTGCCCTGAGAGACATATCAGCAAAAACATTGCTGCAAGAGATGTCTGATATTTTACTGCCTGGTTAGGATTTTTATGGTTTCATGTCTTACATTTAAGTCTTTTATCCATTTTGAATTTACTTTTGTGTATGGTGTAAGCTGGTGGTCTAGTTTCATTTTTTTGCATGTACCTGTCCAATTTTCCCAACACCATTTATTGAAGAGACTGTCTTACTCTTCCCTCCTTTGTCAAATATTAATCGATCATAAAGGCATGAGTTGATCTCTCTGCTCTCTGTTGTGTTTCATTGATCCATATGCCTGTTCTTATGCCAGTACCAGGCTGTTCTGATTACAATGGCCTTTATAGTTTGATATCTGGTATTGTGACCCCCTCCATCTTTGTTCTTTCTCAAGATTGCTGTGGCTATTCAGGGTCTCTTTTGGTTCTATACAAATTTTTGGAATATTTTTTCTAGTTCTGCAAAATATGCCATTGGTATTTTAATAAGAATTGCGTGGACTCTATAGATTGCTTTGGGTAGTATGGACATTTTAATGATGTTAATTCTTCTAATCCATGAGCATGGCATATGCTTCTAATTATTTGTATTTTCCTTAATTTCTTTCTTCAATGTCATATAGTTCTCCAAATACAGGTCTTTTTCCTTGGTTAAATTTAAAACTAGGTACCTAAATTCTTTTGTTGCAATAGTAAATGGGGTTGTTTTCTTAGTTTCTCTTTCTTATAGTTCATTATTGGTGTATAAAAGTACCATCAATTTCTAGATATTGATTTTGTATCCTGCAACTATGCCAAATTCACTTATTAGACCTAATAGTTTTTTTGGTGGAGAAGCATTGATGTGAGAAACATCAGTTATTGGCCTCCCATACACGCCCCAATCAGGGATCTTGGTGCACAGGAGGACACTCCAATCAAATGAGCCACCTGGCCAGAGCTCTTTTAATTTTTAAAACTGTTTATAAAAGTCATGTATTATCTATATAATACAATAAATTTATACTTGCTCTAATCATTTTTATCTCTAGAATTTTATCCTAAAAAAATGAAAAAAAGTGTGTCCAGAGATTCATGTGCAAGAATGTTCATTACTATAATTGGTGATAGCCAAAAAAGGAACTGAAAACAACAGGTGGATGATATAGTATTATATAACCAGTAAAATCAGAGTTTGAAAGACATGTGATGAAAATGCTCTAAAGTGGGGAGAAGGGGGAGTAGAAACAATTTTGATATTTTGTAGTATTCCATTGGAAAATCTGAACAAAAAGTAATAAGAAAAAATAAAGTTTGTAAAAAAACAAGTTGGCAATAAATATATAATTACTGTAAGTGCCCATCTTATTGAATGGATGCTGAAAAGTCATTGAAAGATTAGGGGATCTAAATAAATTAGCCACTTGGGCAGCATGATATAGGAAATTCTTATAACTTGGAAACTATTATAAGTAGACAAATCAAGTATCTTTGGGCTACAAAGTTCATCCCTTCGCTCAAGGTTTTTCCAAAATGAACATTTTATTTTTACTATGGTCTTCAAATTTTTAACACTATTCTGAGTTCATTCACTTTGTTTCTGCAAATAATTTATTTAAAATATTTAGTTGTATTTCCTGTTGAAACAATGCTGTATAATATTTTGCCTGAATATATCCTATGGTGATAGTTCCCTTTATCATTTAAAGCTTGTGGTTATCACAGGTGTACTTACATCTTTAAAGCCATGTATAAAGTGAGTTCTTTAGATAAAGGTTTGTAATGATATTAACTTAGAAAGATCACTTTGGTACTTAAAGAAAAACAGGTAGGAACCGTTTATATATAGTTAAATTGGTCACTACGATCCATTCTGTTTCAAACTGAACTACGCCAGATCTGAGTAACAAGATAATAAACATTTCTTCCTCTAGGGAGCAAAGCGAACCCACACCTATGGGTATAATTGTTTTTTCTTCTCTAGTAGTGATTGTACCTTCCCAGGCAACCAAACTCAGAGGAGTCTGAGCATTATTCCAGCTTGCCTCCTGTAAAACACCCCTGTATGTGTTATGTACGTGAAACGTTGGAGCAGAGTGATTAGGCAGTAAGCTCGAGTCAATCAGATGGTGCTGGGTTCAAATGTCAGCTCTACCCCTACCAGCTATTTGAGATCTGATGTTTCCTCTTCTATTTTTTAAGCAAAAATAATAGTACTTAACTCGCTGGGTTCTTAAAATTGAAATAAGTCATGGAGACTGAGTGCTCTAGCTGCCATTCGCATCACCTGCTATTGTCACAGGGGAGCAAGGAGAGATGGGAGAGGCGAGGCAGTGGTTGGAGGCCGATCCAGTTTCTTGGGTTATAGGAAGAAGCAGATAAGGTACAGCATGAGGTGTGTCACTGGGAGGAAGATGAAACTGAAAATAACAGAAACTGCTACAGTGCAAGTGTTTGATAACTGTTCCTCTTCGATTCTTCCAGAGAGCCATGTCCTGCCACCGCAGCCAGCTCCTCTGGTTCCGCCGGCTGTACGTGCTCTTCTCCCGGTACATGAGAATCAACTCTCTGCACTCCCTCTGAAGCCTGGACGCCTTTTCAGATCCAAGGAACAAGGAGAAGAGAGACCAGGACGCCGGGGGCCTGCTCGGGGGCTGGCTATGTCCCTGGGCCAAAGGAGATCCCAGGGCAGGTGGCCTCCCAGAACTCTGCTCCTGTGTGGTCAGCCCTAAGGAGAGGGAGGCCGTGCAGGCCAAGGACTGCCTAAGCTTCAGCTTCTTCCTCCGGGAAGAAAACCACAACCAAAAACAGGCCCAAGGATAAGAGTAGTTACCCTGCCAGGTTCTCCAGCTCTTGTGAGAAATAATATACATAATAACCCGGAGTATGTCAGGCGCCCAGCACAGAGCCTGCGGTTACTGAAGGTGAGTGAAGGCGCCCAAACCACTTCTCAGGTGCAACGTGCTGCATCTTTACACTGCTTCCAGAGCCGGCTCACCACACACGCGCACACAGCATTGTCTGTATTGAAGTAGTTCAACCGATTCCTTTATCTTTGTGGCCTGTGCACCAGGTCTGAACCGAGGGAAAACCTGCTCTGTTTAACACCAGTCACTGACTGGGGCAGCCAAGCTCCAGTGCTGGGTACTGCTTCACACAGGGCTGAATATGGTGTGGCCCCTGCCTTCAACAAACTTATGACCAAATATTCTGGCTCTCAGTCTTTTGGGAAAAGCAGGAAATAGGAAGAGAAAGCTGGCCTTAAAAAAATTGCCCTAGCCAGTTTTGCTCAGTGGTTAGAGCACTGGCCTACAGACTGAAGGGTCCTGGGTTCAGTTTCAGCCAAAGGCACGTACCTCGGTTGCAGGCTCAATACCCAGCCCCAGTTGGGGCACATGCAGGAGGCATCCAACTGATGTCTCTCTCTCATATGTTTCTCTCTCTCTCTCTCCCCCTTCCACTCTCTCTGAAAAGCAATGGAAAAAATATCCTCAGGTGAGGATTTAAAACACATACACACACTCAACAACCTGATGTCTTAAAATTGTGCTACAAACAAAAGCATTCTGAGAAGTCAGGTTTGGAAGTTACTCACAGAATCCAGCCAATGGTCCAGGGAAGTGGCCCGAGGCAGGGAGCTCGTGGCCTGTGGTGGAGAGCACAGGCCCCAAAGATTGGTGAACCTGGGTGGAGGCCAAAATTACCAGCAAAGTCACCACAGACGAGGTGCTTAACCTCTCTCTGCCTCAATTCTCTCATGTGCAAAACGGGCAATAATGTACCAACCTGGGAGGAGATGATGCCTGCAGGTGCATCGTAAAGGGTCTGAAACAGTAAATGCTCAAGACAGAAGAGCTGCAGGTATTCTGCAACCTAAGGAAAAAGTAGGCGTTAAGCACAGGGACTAGCAGGAAGCAAAGGCCTGCTACAGAAAAGACCTTGGGCCCTGGCGGCGAGGCTCAGTGGGCTGGAGCGTCGTCCTGTACACCAAAAGGTTAGGTTTGATTCCATCAGGGCACAGACCTAGGTTGTGGCTTCAACCCGCAGTCGGGGTGTGTACAGGAGACAACCGATGGATGTTTCTCTCTCTCTCTCCTTTCTCTCTCCCAAATCAGTAAAAACATATCCTCAAGTGAGGATTAGAAAAAAAGACAAGACCTGAGTATTTCCTTTGCCTGTCACATGAAGTCCTGAATTGCTGTCTCCATAGCAACAGGTTAGAGACCTGCTTCTTGGGTTTCTTCACCCAAACTTGCTTCACTTTGCTGAGGGTCACCATTGTCCTGAATGCTCATAGGGACCAAGTGAGGCTCAGAGAGGTATCAGGCCCAGAAGCTGGAACTGAAGAGCAAAACTGGCTAATATCTAATAGAAATCTGCCAACAACTCCTGATGGCCTTCATGTGAAAGTGACAAAAAATAAGCCACTAACAGTGGTTGGAGTGGTGGACACCCACCCAGCCCACTGGACAGGAACCAGAGGTCTGCCCTGGGTTGGCCAGTAGTGTGTGGGTTCTTGACTTCATGAAAGAAAAATTTCACAAGTCCGGTGATTCTGAGAGTACATTTATTAAAGCTGGGGACAGTGAGACAAGGAAGGGCCTAGGATAGAAGAAGCTACAGGACAGTCTAGGCAGAGCCGCTTGGGCTCCCTAAAAATGGTATAGGGAAGAAATGAGCTGAGGCTGGGCTGCTTTGAAGTCAGAAAAAAAGGGGGCCTTGGACATAGTTTCAGGAGTTTAGCCCGGGATGAGCTGCTGATGCCCATCGCTCCCCTGGTGGCAAGTCTCAGGAGGACCCTTAAAGTTTAGGAGATGCAGGCCTGAGAGAGTAGAAGGGTGTGGGTGTGTTCCAGGGAGGGAGAGCATTTGCTGGGTCCTTCATCTTCAGGGTTGCAAAGGCTGGGAGTTTAGAGGAGCATCTCAATAGAATATTCATCAGCTTTATGCTGATGCACCAAAATGAGATTTATTCCCCTTCTTTTGTCCTTGGGTGTGGCTGGCACTAGTGGCACTAATTGGATTTCTATTATCTATCTCTGCAAGTAGGGTGATTTAAGCTATTTACCCTCTGGTTGGGGAGAATTGGAAAGTGTCCCTGGTTACAGAAGATAGGATTTTGCGATTTACTAGATGGCCATAAACTGTCAGAGTTTCCCTATTCCACTTGTCCTGGCTTACTGGCCTGTCTCATTAAGAGCTTTTAAAATACACATACTCTGTGATCTAAGGAAATATTTTAAAAATAAAAAATGTACACAGACTTCCTGTCAAGATGGCAGCACAGGTAAACATGGTACTCGCCTCCTCCCACGACCACATCAAAACTACAACTGAACTACTAATCATTCAGAACTGCCTAAAATCTAGCTGAGTGGAAGTCCTATAACTGGGGAATTAAAGAAGCCACATTAAGACTAATAGAAGGAACAGAGACGAAGAACAGGCTGGTCCCATACCCATGTGTGGTGGATAAAAATTGGGAGGGAAATCTTGGCTACAAAGGTCCCCCCTGAGGAGCCAGGGGTCCCAGCCCCACACCATGTTTCCCAGCACAGGGTTTCAGTGCTGGAAAGAGAAGTCCCCATAACTTCTGGCTGCTAAGACCAACAGAGACGGTGGCAGAGAGAAATGGAGACTGCTGGAGTCCCAGGGAGTTCCTCGTGAAGGGCCTGCACAGACTAACTCAGACTTACTCCCTCTGAGCTCCAGTGCAGGGGCAGCACCTTGAAAAGCACCAGAGACATATGAGGGCAGGGGGCTCAATTGTCCAGCATCCGGACAGCTTTCTCCCAGACAGAAGTGCTGACAGAGGACATTGTTTTTTTTCTGAGACCTCCACACACAGAGCCAGCAGGCGGGCCCCATATCTGAGTCTCCAACAACCTGGTTCACACAGTTTGCCCCACCCTGGTAATTCCCTGAGACCCCACCCCACCAAACTTTCAGGCCCACCCAAGCTGTTTCCAGTGGCTTTTCCATATAAATAGCCTGTCTTGGCTCATGCTTCAGACTTTCCCAAAATCTCTCAAACAAGCAACAGCTGGCATAGGCATGCCCCGCACCTTTCTGCGACCCCAGGCCAGCACTAGCCATAGCAGGCTTTGGTCCACAGCTTGGCCTCTCCAGGGAACCCCCAAGCTATCTGCAGATTGCTTTGTAGCTCATGCCAGGTGGCCCTGGGCAGAACACAGGTGGCAGCTGAACTTGGCCTGTACCTCCCAGGAGGCCCCAGAGCCAGCACACCCATTGGACAGCTTCAGACCACATCATAGCACCACCTCCACCAACTACACACTCAAGTGGCAAACTCAGCTGGCACCAGAGCCCTGCTCAGTGGGATGGGCCGGTGCATAGCTGATCCTCCACGGTGGTTGCAGCTGGTCCTTGCAGCCTATCACCCTGGGGATCAATCCTCCCATTAACATGCCAACAGCAATCAAGCCTCAACTACAACAGGAGAATGTACACAGCTCAGGTTTGTGTGGGGGTCGTGCACCTGGAGTGCCCGGCTTGGGTAAACAGGGAGGCTGTGCCACTGGACACTACAGGACACCTACTACATTAGCCCACTCTCCCAAGCCTAGGAGACATAGCAGCTCTACCTAATACACAGAAAAAAACACATGGAGGAAACAAAGAAACACGTCCCAAATGAAAGAACAGAACAAAACTCTAGAAAAAGAACTAAACAAAATAGAGACAAGCAACCTACCAGATGGAGAGATCAAAACACTGGTTAAAGGTTGCTCAATGAATTTTGGGGATGAGTAGATGAACTTAGAACTTCAACAACATAAAAAAGAACATGGAAACCATAAGAAAGAACCAGTCAGAAATGAGGGCTACATTAACTGAAATGAATAATTTACAGGGAATCAACAGTAGAATCAAATCAGCAATTTGGAAGATAGGGAAGAAAAAAACATCCAATCACAACAGCAAAAAAAAAAAAAGAATCCATAAAAGTGAAGATAGTGTAAGAAGCCTTTGGAACAACTTCAAGTGTGCCAACATTTGCATCGTAGGGGCTAATGTAAGGAGAAGAGAGGGAGCAAGAAATTGAAAACCTATTTGAAAAAAATAATGGCAGAAAACTTCCCCTACCTGGTGAAAGAAATAGACTTACAAGTCCAGGAAGCACAGGGAGTCCCAAACAAAAGGAACCCAAAGAGGCCCTCACCAAGACACATCATAATTAAAATGCCAAAGGTTAAAGACAGAGAATCTTAAAAGCAGCGAGAGAAAAGCAGTTAGTTACCTACAAGGGAGTGCCCATAGGACTGGCAGCTGATTTCTCAACAGAAACTAAAGGCCAGAAGGGAGTGGCAGGAAATATTCAATGTGATGAAAAGCAAGGACCTACAACCAAGATTACTGTATCCAGCAAAGCTATCATTTAGAACTGAAGGAAATATTAAAGAGCTTCCCAAACAAGAAAAAGCTAAAGGAGTTCATCACCACCAAACCAGTATTACAAGAAATGTTAAAGGGACTTCTTTAAGAAAAAGCTAATGAACAAAAGAAACAGTCGCCGTTGTGCCACCACTTGAGCTGGCATCACCCCCTCCCTGCCAGGCCAAGGTGTGGGGAGAGGGTGGCTAGGGGCGAACACGCAGATGTCAACTGTGCTTGATGGATACTTGGCTAGTCACCTGTCATGAGCCACATGCCCCTTTGCTCCCTCTCCTCCCAGCAGGGCTGTGAATGAAGCTCTGCCACCTACGTGGGGCGCTAGCTCAACTTGGTGTTTTGGACCTCAGAGCCCACTGAGTGCTTGGCCCGCCAGCAGGGGACACAGGCTCCACCACCCCTGACCTCGGCAACAGAGTAAATCCGTCTCCTGGAATGCCAAGTGAAGTTGTATGTGTGCTGTGATAACATCAGTGTAGGCTACCTCGAATAAGTGAAGGAAATCCAAAGTGTGAAGCATAAAAGCCAGGTTGGGGCTTGAGCACCTGGCAGAAAGTAAGACCACACTGCTGCTGTTCCATCTACATTCCATTCAAGCCTCCCTACAAAACTGGGGGGTGGGGGCCTCTGGGAAACTCTGAGCCTGTGACCCCAACGTGGGAGTGGGTAGGATCAACATGGCCATATGGCAGGGAGCCATGGATACTAGAGATAGCTATGGATTTCTCCTTGAGAGGTGATGTTCCGCCCTTAGGTGGAGAAATAGAAGGTATCATTATCGCTGATGACAATTTATCTTTTTAAAAATTATCTTTAATGCATGCATAATAAAATTTATTTTCTGGTGTGTAAGAAAAAGAGACATAAATATGGATAATGGCAAAAACTATATACCTATTAATAATCTTTTAAAATGTAAAT